ATTACTTTTTTATTATAATTGTACTACTTGGAAGTTAAGCAGTTACAATTATAAAATAAAAAGGTATTATTATTATGGATTTCTTCTCTATTCGTAAAATAAGAAATATAAATATTAAAAGTATTTAAAATTTTTAAATATTTTCAATCCACAAGAGGAATGTTCTAAATATTACGTATTAAAACACAAATCTGTCAAGACAAGACAATCATCTAAGCAAATATTGGTAAAGAAGGTTTAGGAAAATGGAAATATATTTATTAATTAAAGAATTAATTAATTAATTGTATGAAATGTTTAAAATACAGAGAACGCATCATTTTATGTAACAGATTAAAATATGAAAAATAGAGTAAAGCATGAACTCCAAAATGTTATTGGATGATTAAAATTAACTGAAAATGCAAAATTATTTATCTACGCTCAGTTGAATAATTAACAAAATAAAAATAAATATTTCTGGTTTATCAATTAATAAATAATCGTTTAAATATTAAACAAATCTTTACATAAATATACGAAATTCAAAATAAACTAATTTAAAAATTCAAAACCAAAAATATTCTCAATTTCTTTTCGAAAACCACAAAAATGGATCTTAGTTATATTATCAATTATTTATCAACAATAACAACATTAAATTAAAATGTCGACTGCTAGGCCGATTTTATATATGTATGTAAATATATATATCACACGGTTCTTTCAAAATTTCGTTTTAATTTTTCAATGGAAAAATCAAAAGCAAATTCTTATCAGTCTTTCGCATTGAGCGGAAATAGAGTCGCTAAAATTCAGTCTTTTTATACATTTGAAATGATAATAAAAAAACGGTAACAGATTACCAAAAAGTAAACCAAACCATGATCACGATGGTGCCAGTAGGTATGTGAGATACTCAAGGAATTTCAGGAATTTAACCGGAAGTTTTTGATAAACACGAGAAGGAAACAATTCAAAAATATTTTTCTCCAATTCGCATTTAATTAAAACATAATAATCATAAAATAATTAATGAGTAACTGCTTTTATGGTTTTAGAATGTGTGTCTTAACACTTCTTTTTATATTTTGCCTTTGTATGAGCCCAGGCTAAGGACCTAGGACGTTTCAATGAATGAATAAGGAAATAAAATCGATCAACAGTTAAGTACCTCAAATATCAGATTTCCATTTTTTTGTATGGGTCAATAATTTTTACGTTGAGAGTCAATTTTCGATTAAATGGTGGGTAAAATTTCTGTGTTATGTGGACCTTTCCTTCCTTTCAAAATTGAATAATAATCACATTAAGGATTAACTAAACACACATGGGCAACAAAAGTTTCCACTTCTTACCCTTAGAATGTGCTTAATTAAATTCAATCCATGGACAAAAACTTTTTTGAATCTATTTTTTAAAAAATAAACTTTTTGTACCTGGATTGGCTCTGATTATATACATAAGGGTCAAAAGAAACCCTTTTGTAGACCTTTTACTCTTCCAAAATAAAATATTTCCAACAAAGTCTATTTTTGATGTGGCTGATAATAATAAATAATTTTTTACATTAATTCTTAGCTTGTGATGATATTAAGAAAAATATCTCTGTTATTGATTATTGTCATTCTATTGAGACGCCCTTTAGGTATTTATTTATATACTCTACTCATAATCATAGTAAAAAGAAAAAACAACAAATTACCGGTCAAATTTCCTCGAAATTCCTTTCAAAAAATTAATATGTAAGAAAAAAGTTTTTGCTACATTCTTTAACAGTATGAGTGCATATTGGTTAGTTTACAAACGAAACATAGCTGCAAAGAAACATGTAGTTTTCGACTAACCGTGCGTACAGCTCCCTTCGCACTTTGACTGTAAATTTGTTGACGAGACATAGGGTTGCACTCGTTGCAAACACCACATTGTACAACAGAACTATTTTGAAATTGCCCAGCCACTCTATGCTCCCAAAATCACCCAGTAAGTCGAAATTTGTGATGCCTAGAAAGGAAAATCATTTATTTTTAATAAGTCTCTCTTCTTTACTGTCATATTTTTTAATATAATAATTTTGGCAAAAGTCTAAAATTATTCACCTAATATTTTGGAAAGTAGTGGAAGGGCAGAACTTAAAACCAAAATTAGAGCGCAATTGGCAATGATAAGGCTAAATGGGGTGCTTTTAGCTCTGGGCCTAATTCCTGACATAGGAGGTGAGGAGTACAGTCCAATTGAGGATGTTATTATCAAATACAGAATCAGTACTATTTCCAAAAAGGCACCGAAGGGTCCCAATTTAGACAATGAACTAATGCCCAGGGTAAATTGCTGGAAAAGTTTAAAAAATACAAGTCAATAATACATTCTTGAAGGAAATTTTTATCAAAAACTGCTTTTTTAAATCAAATCGCACAAAGTTCCGAGAAGAAAAATACTTACTCTTGAACTTAAAGGAAGTGCCTTAATTCCAATTAAAATTTCAATGGTGTTTTGTAACACTATTAACACAGTGATACCAGTGAGTCCCAGCAACAGAATCATTGCAATAGGATAAATAACGTTCCTTCTAAATGAAGAAGTATGGCGTTGTTTATCTGAAAATAAAAACAACATATATTCGCAATTCCTAGAATTGGAGACTTATCAACAAGACCATTGCATTTTTAACATTAATTTTTATAGTCAACGTCAACATTTTACAACTGTAGGGAAAAAGATTAGTATTCTTAGATTTGCAGATGATCATATAGCAGTAATCGCATCTAGCAAGGAAGACCTAGAGATAGCTTTAAATAAAATGGAAGCGGTACTGACAGATCAGTACTGTATAAAAATAAATAAAAGTAAAACTAAAATACTGGTATGCAAGGGAAGAAAAAGTAGGGAAAGAGCGAATATAAAGATAGGAGACGAAAAATTAGAACAACTGGCTGATTTTAGATGCCTAGGAAGTCAGATAAGTCAAGATGGAAGGAATAATAGGGATATAAAGCGAGGATAGCGCAGGGTCGTGTCACCTTTAATAAAAAGAAGTCACTTCTATGCTCGGGAAGGTTAATTCAGAAATTCGAAAAAGGTTGCTAAAGGTGTATATTTGGAGCACGGCGTTGTACGGATGCGAAACATGGACAGTGGGCGCGGCGGAAAAGATAAGGTTAGAAGCGTTCGAAATGTGGTGTTATAGGCGGATGATGAGGATAACGTGGGTAGAAAAGGTTAGAAATGAAGAGGTATTGGAAAGAATAGGAGAACAGAGGACTCTATGGAAGTCAATAAAAAATAGGCGAGATAGGTTTGTAGGACACCTTCTCAGGCATGAAGGTCTAGTCAGAGACATATTAGAGGCAGAAACAGGAGTTAGGAGGGGTGGAGGTAGACCTAGATTAGATTACTTTTTGCAAATAGTTAAGGATGTGGGCTGTTCTAGTTTTAGGGAAAAGCGAAGTTTAGTTCAGGATAGGAAAGAGTGGAGGTAAGTGTCCAACAGTCTTAGGACTGGCGATCTTATGATGATGACGTCAACATTTCTCTCCCAACAAAATTTTTATGGCTTACCCAGCAACTTTCTCCTGTTTTCAACTTCCAAAAGTCTTTGGCCCAGTCCTGCCTGCAATTTCCCATTTCTCAATCGTAACAATCCTTTGAAATCATCTTCCTGGATTGCTCCATCGTCAGTCAAGGACATGGGAGCAGGACTCATATAAGATTTACCAGTCGATTGAGCATGTTTCAGTCGACGTCTGAGACACTCCTCCTCCAGTGTGTATGTGAAATACTCTTCGTTTATATCACGCAAGAATTGGGGCTTTATGAGGTATCGGCCTACTACGTCAAATAGGCGAACAAAACCCAGAGGTGTGCACACTAAAAGGGAGGAAAAGTATTAACTACCCACGAAAAGAGGTAATAAAAGGGATTCGATTACCCAAAAGCATCAGCACACCCAGGAACGATATACATGAATATAAAAACGGTAAATGGTAGCTCCATAAATCTGGAAATCAATTTAAAATGTGATAAAATAATACAAATATGGATTCTTGTTTTCATTATGCACTTAAAGGTATCTAGAAGATAATGAGACCAGGATTATTACCGAAAAAATTAAGTTAGAAAACATAATACCTTCTTACTACATGTGAATCGTATCATAAAAATTCCTTTACCAAAATGGTAGTACATGTTATATTTGTATGTACAAAGAAAAGCCACAAAAATGGTAAACCACAATAAACCAGTTCACAGATCGATTTACATTTTACCTACACGACTCCAATGTATTATTAGGTACATTTGAATATGATTCAAATGCAATAGCTGCGGTTTTTCCTTAATTAAAATTGTATGTAATGCATTATTGAATAGAAAACAAGGAAGCCTAAACAGAACGAGTAGATATGGAGGCAATAGTATGAATATCGTTACTGTCTATGGTCATTAATTAATCATTCTCACTGTTTCTTTAAAAAAAAAACAATTAAGGCAATTAAAAAGAAGGTTTTAAAAAATACCACAAATGGCGCGGAAAACGCCATCTGTAGTACGATGCTACATTTTGGGATTACGTATGCTCCAACAATAATACAGACCACTTCGAATTATTTTATTCGATTATGGTAACGTGCCTATCACGTTGAGGTGAGCTACGCCGGGATTCGTTTCAGCAAGTAGATATCCATATTTTTAAATGGACCTTGTTGGAGCATACGTAATCCTAAAATGTAGCATCGTACTACAGATGGCGTTTACCGCGCCA